ATCGGAGGCCGAGAAGGGCCGGGAAGACCCAGAGGCCAGGGCACCAGCTGTGCAAGGGGGGTGAGGAATTTTACCCAACTTCTTCTACCAGATCTCTCCAGATTTCGTTTCAGCCAAAACCGGGACGACTAAAAGGTTCTGGGTTTGGCTTCTGATGAACTATGGCTGACCCAAACTTTTGGCAGCTCTTCCCAATTTAGTTGATTTCAGGCTGGACACAAAACCTGCCCACCTCTCAATGCAAGAAGAAAAGATGTCCTTCCTGGCCGCCAGCCAAGCTCAGCGGCAGAAACTTCGCCTCTTTGGGAGGGAGGGAGGGAGAGGAGGAGGGAGGGGCCCCCAGCCCCTCCCTTTTAATGTGGTTGCAGAGAGGCCGAAAAGGTCAGGCAATCGCGAGGACCACGCTAAATTAACTTGACATTTTACCAGAGGCTCGAGAAGCCGAAGAAGAGAATAAATAACTGGTGAGAACTAAATCTTTTCCCCTTCAGTCTGTGAAATGGGGCTGGCGACTTCGCTCCATTGTGCACCACGCAACAACAACGCTCTCTGAGAAGAGGAAGTGATGCGCCTTGTCCAGGGATCCAAGGGAGCGGGAAGGGGGGGGCTGGTTGACATTCGGTTATTTCCAACGTCCTAAAAAAGGGGGCCACTTCCTGGTGGGAATCCAAGACATTTAACGGTAGCCCTTGGTTGACGAGCCCAACTGGGACCGGGATTTCCACTGTGGTTGTTAAGTGACTTCTATCCAATGCTACAATCGCATTTTGCCAGTTTTTTTAAGCGAATCCGCCTGGTTGCCTGCCCCTTTGGGATGATCACCTGGACAATGGGAGCCTGTGGATCGAAAGGGGAATCCCCAAGATCCCTCCTGCAACACACCGGCCCAGATGAAGTGCCGGAGAAAAGGCAAGGTTCAGCCTTCCGGGGATGCAATGCATGCGAGTTCCTGCTGAGCTCCTTAGACAAGATGCCTTTTGCTTGAAGGGGAAGGGGCTGCAGGGGACGGTAAGAGCGGCAGCAGACCTCCAAGGCTTTCAGGCAAGCCTTCTTCTTCCTAGCGACTCCTGCATATAAAATGTGGGTAATTATGCTAATTTCATTTGGAGAATGGTTTCCGTTATACAAACCTTTAGCACAGGGGAAGAAAATAGACTCCCGGAGTTTTATGCCGGCACTTAATCACCGCTGTTTGCCTGTGGAGGCTTTTAAGGCTAATGGGTGGCTTCGAGTTGCACTAAAATTCATTTCGGTAGCCATTTGACAGGAGATAATACACCCAAGCGAATTTAAGCAGGCCACCCACTCCCTGGCAGAAAAAGAGGAGGGGGATGGCCGTTGGTCCCCTCACCTTTCCTCTGTTTGGAGAGAGAGAGCGCGAGAGAGAGCTGAAGTTAAATTCCAGGCGGACGATATCAAGGCTTCCGGATAAGATAAACACATAACACAGCTTGTCTGCTAAGACACAGCAACGCGGCAAGATCCTATCCGTCAAAAGAGGGGATTTGATGAAATTGCTCGAGTGGCAATCTCAGCTTAGCTGCGCCTCAGTGCCAGATGGTGCGTTTGCAACAAGGGCGTTTTGGGGCCAAAAGGAGGATGGAAGACAATGGGCCAATCCTTGAGACAGGAGCCGCGTGGGCTGAAGACTCAGGGGCCCATTGGGAACACTCACAGGGAGAGATTTTTTTGGGGGGGAAGGGGAGTCCCATGGCCAATTACCCATAGAAGACAATATTTCTAGCTCAGGGTTCAACTACAAGGGTTGAACTTGGTGCTCTCTGAGCTTGGTGGATTTATTTATTTTTTGCAAACTGTTTTATGAGCCAACTAGTTGGCATCATTGGCTTTCTTTTAATATGCAAATAGCTTTTGCCCCGTCAGTTGGTAGGGATGATCTCGGAGGGTTCCTTAATCGCTTAATCAAGAAGCCTGCAAGAACACGGACAGGGCAAGCGGTGATAAGAGCCAAGGTGGCGCAGTGGTTAAATGCAGCACTGCAGGCTACTGCTAGATCAGCAGTTCAGCGGTTCAAATCTCACCGGCTCAGGGTT